GAAATATCAAGAGATAAAGTGTTGCTGTCGGGACATGGATGTGTATAAAACGATCAAGCTTTTGTGAAATGCTGATGCAAATTCGAAATGACCTCGAATCATATAGGCGAAGTGTGGGAGTTCTATATCAAAAGACACGCACCGGAATTAGACAGAAATCGGCGTAGCACCGCTCAGGCGTCGCGATTTGCGTATATTCCATTGCTCGCTGGTGTGTGTTGAACCGTTGCGTAGATTCTGCCAAATTTGATGCTCTGGAGAGGAGTGCAGCAGGTATCTTTCAAGTTAGGATTGACGTAAGGTGAGGCGATTGAGGTCAAGTAACGGAGCTCCAAACCCCACCACCGGCCTGGAGGAACAATCGGTGATCCGCACCCGCCGCAAGATACTCTAGTAACACACAAAATATACTCGGAAATCTACTACGATATATTAAACGAGATTCGCATTTGTAGTGGTGATCACAAGTCGTTGTTCTGTAACTAGAGCTTTTCTTGTTGTATTATCTAGGTTAACCTATGTGATAGGTGATATATTGTAGTATTTCCGAGGCGGCCTTCAATGGCTGCGCATTTAGTATCCAAATGTTGTACTGTTGCAATTTGTTACAACAAAGTATAGGCTTTGCCGATGAATCCATGCGGCACAAGATTCAACCAAAAACAAAACGCCGTCGCTATGCAATTAAATCCCGACTAAAATGGATCCTTTTAAACTTTCCAACTCCGGAAGATCAGAACCGGCCACGCGACGAGCCGTAAGCTAGTCTATGCAAGTAGTAATGCTGCTACGAAGAACGCAACCAACGCGCCCGTACCCATACCGGTAGCGCCACGCCCGCGTTTCGCCTCATTCTCCGCAGTTTCGGTCGCAGTCACGCTGCTATTCTTGCGCCCAACAGGGTTGGTGACGCCGTTCATTAGATCCGCGGTCTGGATGGAAGGACCCTCACTGAAGAAATCTACTAGGATGAACGTGGGCTGGAAGCCCCACTGGGAAAGGCACGTTTGGGCATGCAAACCCAAGGCTCCGGTGGTCGTCGTAGACGGACTGTTGGTCGTTGCGATGTCGTCGACGTCTGGGATCGTGATAGAAGAGCCCAGATCAGTGTCTGCAAAGTGGTTTATGAGCGGGAGAAGACCTGCTTGGAGCGCGGAAGCTGCTGATGATTGCGACTTGGGCCGGTCTATGGTGCAATTGAAGCCCGATAGCGATGTGACATCGAACGCAGTCTCGAAGACGTAGTCGAACTCGGTGAGTAGATACGGGTAAGTGCTGCTGGGCGTGATAGATGCGATGAATGTCACGAGGCGCGTGTTGGCGGTGATCATGGTTTGTAAGGTCGGCCACCCATTGCCCGATGGCGTGTATCCGTACTTTGAGATGCCTGTTGATTCGAACATGGACCCAAATTCCTTGACATCGTTGCCATCTGAGTTGACAATCAGAAGTGTCACTACTTCGTTCGGGTTATTGTCCATCCAGAATTTGACGTCTCCGATCCAATTCTGCAGGGGGCCAGCATCGAGCAGGTCACATGTTGTGTGGCACATCTCGATGGTTCCGTTGAGATCGTGTACTTGCACCTGCAGTAATCGTAGCCCCGCGTCCAATGCGACAGTTGCGTTGAAGTACTGGTTGCCAGCAACCGAGTTCTGGGTGCTAGCGTCACGGAGGAAGGACGAATCATGGGCGCCCATGTGAGTGATGTTGCTGTATGAGCGGCTACAAAGGTCTGGCGAATTGTTGCAAGCCACCCCCGATGCCGAGCTCGATACGGCCCCAGAGGTAGCGAGAGGCGTTGCTGTCGTTACCGTGGTGGCAGCATTACTAGCTTGTGGTGACGAATAGGCCGTGCTCGCTAGAGTGGCCAGCGTTGCTATGTACGCGCATAACGAGGGAACCATCTCGACTAAGGAAATAAAAATAAGGGGCTAGCACAGTTACCTACCTGTGCGAGCCTATGTATGCTTATTGGTGAAGAATGAAGAGAAGCAATGAAATGACTAAACGAGAGGAATGGAAGGACGATTTCAACTATACGTCCTTAAGGGAGTGGAAATAAAGCAGTTTGGAGCAGAAAGAAAGTCAGCGACACGCGGTAGTTACAAGCTTGCAGATAGGTACGTAATGAATGTTCCGGCCAAAACTCCTGAGGTGCCAGACCCCGGCCATGCATATGGTGATCGACAGGGTCTCCTGCAGCTGGCCGTGGCTGGTGGCTGATGGCGGCGTGTTCTGTGGGGCAGTCCGGACTGAAGTGGATGTCATGGAGCTGACGACTGCGCCTCTCTCCACGTCAGCGTGCAAGTGGACGAAGATGAAACCGTCGAGTGTGTAAACGCGCGTTCCGTTGCCCGGCTTGTTTCAAGGAAGTATCATAGTTAGGTACTTTCGTGAAAGAGAGGACTTGATCAATATGAAAGTCTATTCGTGGTCATGACCTCATTGCTATTGTAGCCCTTATTAACTGTGCAGTAGGACTAACAGTGGTATCTCATTCCGGCTTGTGATTGCTGTGCAGTACCAAACAAAGGCTTGATGTTCGATATAACCTTCTGAAGCGGCGATTCCAAGGTCGTGTTAAGTAAAGGAAAACACGAGAGAGGTCCACTAAAGACACAGTGGATGCAGCCACACCACACACAGCCCCTGAACAAGAATGTTCATAATGACATTCAATTGGCCCATCATAAGACAGACACTCCTATTTTTGGTGATAGAACGATCATATCTTTATGTAAGCTGAGCTGCTCGAGTATTCAGAATCGAATATTGTACCGGTAGCACGATTGAGCCACCAAACCCGCAAGGCTGTCTCAAGAACGTTATGGCACAGCTGCTATCAAACTTTCGCCTCACCGTAGACGATCCTGTCACTCGAGTTAGAGCCGAAGTCCTATTTTGATATATTCCATTACTACAATGGCGTCTCCTTCGCCAGCGTCGCCAGGACCCAAAGAAATTAGTACAAGACTCTCAACGCTATTTGGGAGTTATTTTTACTCAGGATCGCCGACAGACGATGCATCCATCGCAGCCTGTTCTTCCATCTCTTTAATCTTCTGTCTGCCTTCTTCAGTTGTAGCGTCTATTATTTGCTCCTCCAAGCTAAGTATACCGGCCTGCATGATGATTAGCAGTTGGCGAATAAGCAGGGATGTCTTCTTACCTCGCTCAACAGACCCACGACTTCCTCAGCCTCGGGAACCTTCATCTTACCAAGGACCTCGTTGACTTTGTCTAGACTACCAGTTTCTAGCGCCTTTCGCATGTCTGGTGCAAAGCCTTCGAAAATCGCACGTCCGTGCTTCTCGGCTTCATCTTCGCTGTTTTCCGGGGGGATTTGAATCTTGATCTCGGTACCTGGCTCAACGGCATGAAGTTGGATCTGCTCTACGTCGCCACCTTCCGTAGCCCGTTGCGCGTTGATCTCAGTCGTCCGATTCTTGATGCGGAAGTACGTATCTTGGACATCTTTGTAGAATACCTCTTGAGCTTGGTGGCCTTTTGTAGTGATGCGCTTGAAAAAGAGCGCAACGCCATCCCTGCCCAAATTGCGGCAGTATTGAAGTAGCAATGCTTGATGGATGTAATTCCTTGCGACATCGTCCTTATTTTGTAGTTGTGCGTCGAAGGCCATGACAAGGATACCGTCGGTCTCCTTTTCAGATAACACATTAGGATGTGAAGTAATGAACGCATGGCTTTCTCGATACTCGGCGGCCTTGATGTTCGCAAACTTACGACCATCAGCAGAAGCCTCAATCTCGGCGTCGTCGTCCTCGTTGTCAGCTGCTGATGTCGCCTTCGATTCCTCGGGCTTGCTTGCGGAGAAGTTAGGGTTCAGAAGTTCAACCTTGCTACTATCCTTCTTCTCCCCTGATGTGGAAGGCTCGGACTTTGCAACGTAGGAACTGTCGAATCCTGTATGGATACTCTCGCTTGTGATTTTGCGGCCCTCCTCCTTCTCCAGCTCTGCCAACTTCGCCAAGAGCTGGTTCTGTAAATCTTGCACGTTCTTCAAGTGATTCCCTACCTCCTCAACCATGGCAGCGTAGCGGTTCTCCGGATTATTCTTATTTAGAGTCTCGTTTACTTGATCTAGTAATGCCGCCATCATCTTTGTATAAGTGGGTGGCTGCTCGACCTGAGCATGGACGCCCTCGGGTCGCGCAGGCGGCTTGTCCTCCTCGGGGCTACCTGCAGACTCCATGACGGCTCGGAAAGCCATCTCGGCGAGGTTGGATTCAGCCTCGGCGGCATTAGCTTTGAGAGCGGCCAAAAGCGCGGATATACGCTTCATCAACCCATCATTGATTTGACGCTCGTACTTGAGGGTGTCGATCTGAAGTCGGCGCTGTTGGCGCTCAGCGTGGATCTGGGTCTGCTTGGCGCGGATGAAGGATCGCTTATCCACGTTGGGGTGAACCTCGATATCGGAGTCATCGCTGAGCTCCAAATTGTCCTATTTCCAAGAAGCATCATATGAGTAAGTACTTTGCCATGACTCTTCTGAGAAAACTGACGGCCAGGCGCATAAGACACTCACCCACTTGCTGTAGTCTACAGGCATTTTGGCTCGGTTATACCAGGCAGTCCAGGCAGTCCAGGCAGCACTAGTTCCAAGACAGGTTTCGCAAGACCCTTAAGGTGTTACCTATAGACCTATACGAGTACCTATAGAAAGATGTAGTAAAAGAAACTGGTTGTGTTCTGGCATATTCTAGCTCCTCGGAGATCAGACGAATGACGACTGCGGGGTGTTTGGCAAGGAATCGGTATCTACCGACCCCACTGTGACCCCTCGTTTGCGGTCCGCATTCTTTATCGATTACTCGATACGCAATTATCATTGTGGTAGAGGTTGCTATGTTAGGTAGTAGGCAGCCAGCACCCTACATCTAACTTGACTCACCTAAATGCTACTGCTGCTCGATAATAGGAGCCTCGCGGACAACTACTTATGGCTGCCTGTGACTCTATTTAGCCCAATTCGTGCCCGGTTAGCTCAATCGGTAGAGCGTGAGACTCTTAATCTCAAGGTTGCGGGTGAGTAACTAAAAGTAAAAGCAAAGGAAAAATCGAAAAATACTAACCCTAACAGGTTCGACCCCCGCATCGGGCTCAATTCCTGATGCCTCTCATATTCGCTGGGAGTAGCAACCCATACTTTTTTCTCTCGACGGATTATTTGTGTCTTCTCATTCATAACCCTTTTGTTTTTTTTTGTTTTGTACTTGCCGTCGGAGGGCCGTCGGAGGTTTGGCGTGTTAACTCAAGGACAACAAAGTAGCAAAAGCATATCTATCTAGTCTTCAAGTATCCGTCAATATGAACGGAAATAAAGGCGCACTACCTAACTTTCATCGTCGACAAGCAAATTCAATTTCCATAGCTCAGTAATGTAGCGCAGTGAAAATAGAATATGTAAGTAAAGAAAGATATTTAGCAACACTAGATAGAGATGAGAAAAAGATATAATGAACATTAAACGAATACATCTCAAGTTTAGTCCGTACTTGGGCTATTTTGATCCGTATTTCCAGATCGTATTAGCCCTCACACGACCTACCAACTAGATCCTCAGTATGCTTTGAAAGGCAGCTGTCTCTCTCTTCTCTCTTAAGTTCGGTAAACAACTTGATTAAGGAGGGAAACTCATTCTGACATCATAGTAGTCTATACAAGCACCAGTTTGTAAGCTCTACATATTCGCAATTGCGCTCGTGCGATCTTACGGTGCTCCGCCACAATTGATGACCCAAAGCACCCATGAATCTATGGAAAATATTGTCATCCCGTACAGAAGTTCCGGCAGGCATGCCTCTTCAAGTCCTGTACTGGTGGTGGCTAAGCTCAAGCGCAATATTAGAGTGCTTAGCTGTATCTGATGTTGATTACATATCCCTCATGCTCACTGGGAGAAGTAAATCACTGACAACTCTCATCGTGCTAGTTGCTCATATATGCAGACCCTAGTCCCCCCATGCAATTTCGTATTCATGGGAAAAGAGGAGCCTTTCAACTATAGTATGATACCTTAGCCTGCTTAGGAATGAGTTACAGTCACAACGCGCAACCCATAATAGCTCACGGCTCACCTCCAGCCTCTTCAGGAATGACTACATTCTTTTGCGAACTTGCGAACTTGCGACTTTCGCATGGAAGCCAGCCACTTCGTCCCTCGATACCATCTGTCCCCTATGCATGTGATCTAGTTTCATGACTCATCTCCACCCAGATCGTGTCAAGAACAATTATAGAAGACTGGATGGCATCGACAAAATTAAGAATACTACCTTCTATATGATGAAATTGCAATATTGAATCCTGCGCCTCTGAGGAAGACATGATGCCTATTTGAACATTTGGTATCAAGCACTGCCTACGTCTGCCTGGTCGTTGGCATAGAGTTTCTCTATTACTACGTTCGCAGTCGATTGTCCAATAGGATCCGACGAGATGCCCGCTTGCGGCGTGCCGGACCGGAGCGATGCAACAATACAGCCCCAGAGCAACGTGATAACATATCGATATATAGGTATGGAGAGAGACATGAATACGCCGTATAAAGGTCTTTTTGTCCTTTAAGATGTTCAAAACTGGTTTACATATATATATATACCTAATGAATATGTGGGCGTGCCTAGTGCCAAGACATCCCAGAACCCCTAACCTTGGAGGCGCTTCAGACGAGCTGAAAAAGAGCTAAGCGATACCATAGTACATCGAATCGCTTAAATAGGAAATACTCCCAGAATGGAAGCGTGAGCCCACACTCGCCACATGGTGATTATGGTTGATTTCATCCAAAGTCGCTACTTGGCACTGCCTAAACCAGCTTAGTACCATCGTGCTCCGCCATTCGGGTCGACGCCCGAATCACCAGTTCGCCTAGAATCAGCCTTACAGGGAAACGTTGAAAGACGTGCCTGATCGGCCCGTCTCCGCAGGAGATGCCTGAAATAATTCTGATTTGCTACAACCTTCAGCTCGCCGGTCGTGAGCGTACGGGTAGGAAGGACTGTGCCGTAGTAGTAAGGACCCCCGTCTCCATAATCGAGTCACTTGAGTAACACTTAACCTTAGTATAGGATTGATAGGAATGATGGGAAATTACATCATCGGGGTCTCTTATCTACAACGTATTGAGATGTTAGTGTAAACCTATACGTGAGAACATCGTAGTACCGTTTAAGGGTTAACATTGCCAAGCAGGACTATGCGGGCTTCGGAGTCGTTACCATCAACCTGGCCACAAGACCACGAGAGCCTAATTTTATCATTGTGAGCTACATAGCCATAGAGTCATGAGAACCCCAACCTGGTTCATCAATGTTTATATAAAGGACGTGGAAGCCCGGAGGCCTCATGTTTGTATCATAGGAATCATCATCGATCACGTTTAACGCAACAATTCAAGTTCTTCCGTCCCTTACTCAAACCACGCATATTCCATTACAATGGTTGTGATTCTAGCAGCAGTTTCAGTTGCTCTCGATGGAGGCGGCACTACTCAGGGCCAAGGGAGCTCTGCGTCCGGGTCCTCGACTGTCAAGAGCGAGTCTTCCCCAGCTCCAGCACCACCACCACCGACAACGAGTTCGTCGTAAGTTACCCTACTAAAACCGCCAAGTGTTTGTGGTACTAATCATGCTATTCTAGTTAACATTAGGGTTGTCCCTAGAACGGCTGGCCATGATACGAACTTTCGCCTTCTTTGCAGCGGACTGCAAAATATAGCAAACCCCCACCAACAACAGACTCAGATACGTCAATGAGCCCAGAAGCACAAGAAAATGAGGATTCCAAGAAGGCGGGTTACCGGGGAGGTATGAGTAAAAGGATTCAGGCATAGCATGGATAGATGGGGGGACTGTTATAAATTGTACAACAATAGACTTAGATAAGGAGTTACCGGGTTATGGTTTTCATGGTTCTGTTACTTTTTAGACAGCATTAGAATATGGCAACGCTTTCGTTAGACAAAGAGGCAAAAATCAACTTGGATGTTTTATATCAATTCACTTCCCTGGAAATGAGAATGCTTAGAAATTTATTATGCAGGATAAGCAGAAGTAATACAAGAAAAGACCGACAGAGTTTATTGCTATAGTTGCCTCAGTTTATGCACAGCGCCCTAGAACTCGCAAGATATAAAGCGAGAACTATGGATTTACCATAACTGTACTAAATCTTCATAATACCCTGCAACATCGAAATAACCATCCGTCAGTTCATCAGGGGTTTGATTATTCACAAATGTGCGTGCGTTCCTGATGACCTCCGTGTATGATTCATCGGCGGAAGGAACGAAGACATCACAATAATCCATGCGGTACGCGCTTGTTTCATAGGCACTCAGTTTGGCGACGTGCTCGGGCTTCTCACATAACCACAACGTACCCTCAACATGTCCTTCGGCCGCGGGCACCAGAGCCGGAAACGGTCCCCACATTTTATATTCCCAACCAACGATGCTCGCGTCCTTGCGTAGAATGATGCTATTTTCGTCCTCGATCTCGCACACGCTCTGTAACACATCCGGGATCTGTAGCGAGCCGTAGAAGAAGAAGTAAAATGGCTTGAAGATGGTTATTACGGACAGAGCCTCGCCGGTGAAGGCAGCCGCGTTGGATAGACCTATATCTGAGCTTCCTATTGGACCTATACTAGTACCGAGCGTATAGTATGGCGTGGTGGGGATTTCGAAGTTCCGAAGTGCCAAATCGGCAAGGTCGAAGAGCTCGTTGCCTGTGGCTGTTGTGTGAAGGCCGCGGATAGCGAGAATGGACGCATTGTGAGTATCCGCTTCTTCGTGAGATGTGGACGTTGGGTCCTGGGCCCTCGTTGGGGGTAGAGAAGCCATAGTGGTTTCGATCAGGCTCTGTTCTGTGGCTAGAGGTGAGCAAGCTGTGATAGTACTGTCGTTACAAGGCATAAATGTTGACATGCACAACGCTTGTAAGGTTCTCTGGTGGAATGATAACATGCGTCCGCTGGGCGTGGCTGTGAGAATTAACGAGATAAAAGTAGGCAAATTTGAAGGCGTAACTGTATGTCAACTTGAAATTTGTTAAGATAAATACCAGTTTGTTGAAACTTTGAGTGGGCTGGGTAGGTCAAATGGCTGGTTGTGAAAAGTTGGGAAATGAATAGTTGGCCAACAAGAATGCTGTGAAAATTGATAGATAAGGTAAGAATATATAGCTTGGTTCAGTGGTTCAACTGTGAAGATATCGACGAGACGCTGACTCTCTTGATTTCTAGGACACTTTATGAAAGTCTTTCCAATATCCGTGAGCTCCCAATTTACTATCTTTGTGAAATATAACTATTTGTCGCACAATGGAACAGCAATGAGATATTAAAGAAAACAACAAAGCGTTATGTTGTAGCGTGAGGCTCCATAAGTCATCAAAGAAAGAAACATAGTCTATTGTTTCGCTCAGTTTAACACCAGAGATGGGTTAATTAGCAGTATGCAAGTAAAATATCTTCTGTGAATTCGTCTTCATCAATAACCCAGATATCATTTACCACGTCCCAAGCCTCTAGTACGTCAAACCTAAGCGAATGCAAGAATTGGAAGACTTCCACAGCTGTTCGAGGTGCAGCTGTATCTCGAACAATGCTGCTGTTGCTAAAAAATTTTATGAAAACTCGGCACATCCTGCGATCTAGACGATCTCGTATCTTTATCGCAAAAAGATTGTTGACTGATGGGCTTCTGTCAAACCATGTCATACGAACTGCATTACCAAGACCGAGACGGCGTACATTGTATGCCTCGGCGAGTACCCAATTAGCAACCTATGCTGCAAGTTTAATAGCATCGTGGTATCTCACTGCTGGCCGAGAACAAAACTGCAATAAGGGTTCCCAGCCGCAGTGCTCCATAATTGCCAACCAATCTGAGACGGTGCAATCTCTCGGCCGGGGGGGATTCTGACAACCAAAGTAGGTATAAGGTGTTGTATCAAGCTCTGATGAGTCATTGGACCTTGTTACCCTCTCAAGAAGCGGCTGTATCGAGTGGGATCTTGTCTCGACATCTAGTAATATCGCCATCCAGTTAGCGGCGCCTCTATCGAATCTTAGGAGAAGGGGTATATAGAGTGCTTA